GTAGTTCTGTGCGGCAATGCGTACGACTCAACGCTATGCCTTTCGACCCATTTTACGACTCATATTCCTATGAGTAGACGTCCGACTCAAAGTGAATGAACGAGTCTGTGTTCAACAAGAGAAGGTTGGGCGTCTTTCTACACAACGTTAATGATGCTAAGATTATTTGCTATTAGATTTTTGTATATCTATATAAATGTGTATGGTTAGGAAGCAATGGTTAGGAAGCCATTTTTTCGAATACCATTGTGTAGCGACTTAAATCTTCAAGGCTATTCTCTTTACTGAGATTCTGAAGTTAGCGAAGTCCATTTGTCAGTCTTTAAACATAACATGAATTGTACCATGTGTTCAAATTCGATACAACGATCCCCACTTAGTGAAATAAACTGACACTAAACAATAATTTTAAAAGCCGTTAATCACGATAGATTTCGAAAACATAAACACTGTTAACTTATCTGAAATCATGTCTACAGTAAAAAAAAAAAAGAAAAAAGTAAAACAACGAAAGAAATTGAGTCCCTAATCGATAATCCGACATTAGCCGTAATTTTAGCATCTGGTCGTATGTCGACCGGTCCATCAATTAATTGATTTTGTTATTGATTTGTGTGGCTGATTAGGTTCCATATCGGGTGGGCCTCGTAAAATGACAAATAGCTGTTGAACTTGATCAAATCTGGACTAAGAAATAGTAAGATTAAATCAAATGACGTTTGAAAAGATGGCAGGATAAGTGTCAAATGACCAGTCATTAATGACTTCAATTCTGTTTGTCAAAGTAAGCTAAATTCTTTTGAAAGAATTGAAAATAAAAGAAAAAAACAAAGAAACAAAGAAACAAACAAAAAAGGGCGAAAGGAAGAAAAAAAAATATCATGGAGAAAGGGAAAGAGGGAATAAAGAGAAAACAAAGAATGAGAGGAAGAAAGAACGAAAGAAAGATTAAAAAGAGTGAAAGAAAGAAAGAAAAAAATATGGTAAAAGAGTTGAGAAGGTGAAATCTAAGAAAGAAAGGAAGAAAGAGAAAAATCCAAAAGAAAGAAATACAGAAATATTGTTATAAAACAATCAAAGAAAAAATCGAAGTGAAAGAAATAGATAGAAAGAGAAAATGACGGTGAAAAATGAGTGCATAAAGGAAGAACAAAGATCCGAAGAAAGATAACAGAAAGAAAGAAAGAAAGAAAGAAAGAAAGAAAGAAAGAAAGAAGATTAAAAAGGAATGAAAGAAAGAAAAGTCAAGAAAGAGAAAAAGAGAAATCTAAGAAAGACGGGAAGAAAGCGAACAACTGAAAAGAAAGAAAGATTCCAAAAGATTGAAAGAAGGAAGAAAGGAAAGGAAAAGAGGAAGAGAGAAGTAAAAGAAATCTGACAAAAGGAAGAAAAGGAACAAAGGAAACAGAGAAAGCATATATGAAAATAATTCCTTCAAATAATGGATAAATGATAAAACCGCAGGAAATTTAAAAAAGAAAGAAAAGTAGAAAAAGAAATGAAGGAATGTAAGGTAAAAGAAAATAACGAAACGATAGAAAAAAAAGCAAATAAGGAAGGAAGGAAGCAAGGAAGGAAGGAATGAAGGACGGATGAATGAAGGAAGGAAGGTATAAATGAATGGAAGGAAGGAATGAATGGGAAGGAAGGAAGGAAGGAAGGAAGGAAGGAAGGAAGGAAGGAAGGAAGGAAGGAAGGAAGGAATGGAGTAAGGAAGGAAGGAAGGAAGGACGGATGAATGAAGGAAGGAAGGTATAAATGAATGGAAGGAAGGAATGAATGGGAAGGAAGGAAGGAAGGAAGGAAGGAAGGAATGGAATAAGGAAGGAAGGAAGGAAGGAAGGAGGAAGGAAGGAAGGAATGGAGTAATGAAGGAAGGAAGGAAGGAAGGAAGGAAGGAAGGAAGGACTGCAAAGGCACCTCAATAAAAACTGAGAAAGACCTTCAGATTTTCAAGAAACACGGATTTTCAAAAGCAGAACCTTTAGATGTAGGTGTATGCAAAAGTTTCTACCGGTCTCTTTAAAAAATAAATAAGTAGTAAAACTGAATACACCATCCAATACTATTTGCTTTTAAATACATACAAAATTAAAGATTCTGGCACACACGGTAATTTAATAGGTAATTTATAGACCTATTTTGTAAGCATCCACCAAAAATAGTGTCCCATCCTAACGCCAGTCATTCTTTCTTTTCTTATATACTTCATTGTCGATAGGAAACTCACACTTGTTTTCTGTAGCGCAGTTATATTCCCATTCTCAGAGCTTTTTTACAGTAAGGTTCACCAGAGAGCCTAAGATCCACTCGAGGTAGAAGCAGTTTATAAGGATAGCAGGGAAAGATAACATTTCTAGATAACTCAAGACTTAAACAGGTTAAGATTGTAGGTTCCACAGAGCAGTGCTTCGCTGGAAGAAGCTGTTCGAATGAAACTTACTTCTCAACTATAGAATACAGAGAAAATATTGGTGGTTTACTACAATGTGAGTGGTATGGCGAGCCCTAGCCGTGAATCAAGGAATGCAGTTCGTCCGAGCAATTCCCAGGGAAGTAGCGATAGAACAGTGAGAGGCTTGCAACATCCCGCCTGTAAGAGAGAGATTGAAGAATGGAAGATCTTTTGTCACGCAAAAGGACTCAGAGACTCTTTTGGACTCTATTAGGACTGGAGAATGAGGACTGGACAGCTCCCGCCCTAATTCCAGATTAGGTAAACATACGCTGGGTAGTCAACAAATATGTATGAACGGTTAATATGAACGAAAGTTTATTTAGAAATTGTATAGAAAGGAAACGGTCCATTCCTCTTTCGTCCTAAGTAGGTTGAATATTTTTGCTAACCCTGCGTATCTACAGAGAATAAGGTTTTTTATTATTTTAAACTTGCAGGACAGGGAAATGAGATATACTGTGGAAATTATTATACGAATTATTGTCAAACAATAACGTGACAGCTGCAATAAACATTTGCAGCAATAACAAATAAAAAAAAACTTATATTGCTTTGTTTTTGTTGTGGATTCCGGGATGAAATCCGGTACCAATAAATAACAAACGCCAAGAATGAATATAGGAAAATAATGTATTAACGTAATAATACAGGTGCAGGTTAGTAGTTCCAGGAATACGGGTTAGTAGCCAAATATCTATACAGTCTTTTGTATTGAAGTATCGCTGTATGACTTCTTACTGAGTCTACGTGTTTGCTCACGGTGACTCTGGATCGCTATGTTCGTTCTGTCTGTCTGTTACCTTCACCTTCTGTCAGTTACCTACAACGCTGTTACCTCACCCTCACTCTTCCGGTTACCTACAACCTTTCACACTCGGGTATTCACGTAGCAGTAGTATATGTATATACTGGGTGAGTCCAATTGTGTAAAAAGGGGAGGACCCCTCAACAGTTTTACTTACGTACTGCTAGCTTAACGGTTTCAGCCCGAGTTCCATTACTCGCCTAGTCTTTTGTGTGATTTTCGCATAAATACTCTAGAGCAGTTGTCGCCAACCGGGGGTCCACGGACCACTAGTAGTCCGTACAAAATTTTTGATGGTCCGCAGAAAAATTGGGACATTATTTCAATTTTTATGAAGCTTCATATTCAAAAATGGAGAGCAATAAAACTTATTATGGATGATATATATGTTCAAGATCTGAATGTAATCTTGAAATAAACATGACTATCCAAGCCATAATATAACCTAAGATGACTTGCAAACTTCAAATTTTCAATTTGTTTTATTTAAATCAGTCTGTTGTGTACCATGCGTAAAACACGGTTAGACGATCATGTATCTTTCGATACATGATTAATGAGACAGATTTTTCCTGCAATAGGTTGCCATTTCTTTCTGCGGTAGAGCAGTTGTCATCCAAGGTTATAGAACCCGGTCTGTCCTGTTATTTACCCATAGCTGTGAGGAGAAGAGGAAGATTCATACCTTTCCCAAGGGTATTAGCATGTAAGTGAATGTAATGGATTCGACTGGAATTCGAACTCAGAACTCCGATTCCTTAATCCGAGTCGCTACCCATTACTCCACTGTGCCATTTCTTTCTGCGGTAAACCAGTTGCCATCCAAGGCTATAGAATCCGGTCTGTCCTGCTATTTACCCATAGCTGGGTGGGGGAGAAGAAGATGATTCATACCTTTGCTAAGGGTATTAGCATATAAGTGAATGCAATCGATTCGAGTGGAATTCGAACTCGGCTCTCCGATTCCTCAATCCATTACTCCACCCCATTTAAATAATTACACTATAACTTTTTTTTAACCTTTAATGGGTGCATTTCATATGAATAAAATAAGATTTCCGATTATCATTATATAAATATATTTACCTTTTTTTCTAAATTCATATTAGTGGTCCGCCAAATTTAATATTATACATCTAGGGGTCCATGAAGTTCAAAAGGTTGCCGATTGCTGCTATAGAGAAAGCCATTTCGTTCCGCTTATGAATTACATAGGAAATCGTTCCATGTTCTCAAGCCTTGACTGGCAATCAGTCTACGAGAAGGACTAATTTGTATTTAAAATCTTGGAGAAACCACACAACAATCTCTTCAAACAAGTTATGGGAATTCTCAGATATTAAAGAAAAGAAGAGTGATTCATCATGAAAGGAAGTGAAAGGAGAGCTATATCATGAAATGACATTAAAAATGGTTTTGCTTTGTTTATTGAAAAAAGAAAGCAATTGATAATTACGAAGCGTCTCTTACGGTTTTTTTTATATCTATGTTGATATCAACGTTATATCTAGCCATTTTAGTCTATGTCCATCATCTATCGACATATCTAACAAGTTGCGTGATTCTCTGTTAATCTACCTTTCAATCTGAGAATCAGCCGCCATTTTTTTTCTCAATCACTTTTTATACCAATTGTATTTAAGTTCAGTCGCAAACGGTCATCGTAAACCTTTATCAATATTCCCAATCACTTCTCAATCGAATTCCATTCAATCGAAAATCCAGCACCATGTGTTAATGATCATTTACTCAGTCTCACTCATTGCCCCTTCTTTCACTCCTCGCTGGCAGAATATCTACTCCCAGCCTAAAAAGAAATGCCGATTCACCCTTCACGGCCTGTTAAGTTTTTCACTTTGTTCAAACAAGCAGGGCAACCCTACGTCGGAATTAAAGACTAAACGAGAAAACACGGGAAAACGAAGCGAGATAGGGAACAATCTGGAAAGTTTACCGCAAAAATCATGAAAAGAAAAGTCTAGCGGGTGAAGGTTCCATTTTAGATTTAAATGGGGCCCCATTGCTGATGGTGGATAGATGTGTCTTTTGTCAGATTTCATGCCAGGAAAATTGAAAAAGTTCGCTTTTTTCGCAACCAACCAAAATTGGAAACTGAACAATTAAGTTACTTCTTGTTTTTTGTTTAATTTTTTATCACCCCAATTCTTTTTTTTTCTACCAGTGTCTCTCTCTCTCTCTATCTCTCAATCTCTCTCTCTCTATCTCTCTTTCTTCGTCTCCCTCACTATCTTTGTATTAGTCACTTTCTTTTTCATTTCTCTCTGAGACTTTTTCTGTCAGTTATTTTCTTTGTTTCTCCTCGCTTCTTTATACCAGTCTCTCTTTCTTTATATCAGTCTCTCTTTTCTCGTCTTTCTCACTATTTTCTTTTAGTGACTTTCTCTCTCAGCCAGTCCTTCCCTTTCTTTCTTTCTTTCTTTCTTTCTTTCTTTCTTTCTTTCTTTCTTTCTGTCATTCTTTTTCTTTCCCTTTCTCTTCAATTCGTTATACGAGCCTATCTTTCTTTTCCTCGTCTCTCACTATTTTTCTATTATTCGCTTTCTTTCACATTTCCCTCTCTCTTTCTACCAATCCTTTTCTTTCCTTTTCTCCCCGCTTCTTTATACCAGTCTCTCTTTCTTCTGCCAGTCTCTCTCTCTCTTTCCTCGTCTCTCTTACTATATTTCTGTTATTCACTTTCTTTCTCATTTCTCGATCTTTTTTTCTTTCTGCCAGTCTTTTACTTTTCCTATCTTTCGGCTTCTTTATACCACTCACTCATTCTGTCAGTCTCTCACTGCGCGTGTCTCTCATTATTTTTCTATTAGTCACTTTCTTTCACATCTCTCTCTCTCTCTCTCAGTCTCTTTTACTCTTTTATTTCTTTCTTCTCTTTCTTTTTTTATTTCTGTCAGTCCCTCTTTTCTATCCCATTAGTCTCTCCTTTTTCTGCTTCCCATTTTCTTTCAGTTCATTATTCAATCTATCTCCACAGTTTCTTTATTTTCCTCTTCCCTTTTTCTTTATTTCTATCAATCTCTTTCTTTCCTCGCTTCTTACTCACATTCTTTCAGTTACTTTCTTTATATCTCCTCTCGCTCTTAATTTCTGTTAGTCTGACTTTTTTCTTCTTCACTCTCTTTATCTTTTTGTCAGTCTCTTTCTTATTCTCTTCTCCCTCTTTCAATCCATCTGTCCCTTTCGCTCTTCACTCTCTCTTTCTGTCGAGATATCTTTCCCTATTCTCACTTTCTTTCTCGATCAGTGTCTTCCTTCTTACTGTCTTCTCTCTTTTTCTTAATATCTCTCTCGTCCTATATTCTTTCTTGTCCTATTCTCTCACTTTTCATATTCTCACTCTTGTCCTATTATCTCTCTTGCCCTATTCTCACTCTTGTCCTATTCTCTCTCTTGTCCTATTATCCCTCTTGTCCTATTCTCACTTTTGTCCTATTCTCTCTCTTGTTCTATTCTCACTCTTGTCCTATTATCTCTCTTGTCCTATTCTCACTCTTGTCCTATTCTCTCGATTTCTGCTAATAGAGATTTATCAAATTTTTCTTAATACCATATATAGTCAACACCTAGGGGACAAGACGGTTTGGTTTGGTTTACGGCATATCAACCTCAATGGGTTATTTAAATGCGATTTGCTGGTCGGGGACAATAAAATTAAGCATTTACGGAAGTTTAAATATCTGGGAAATGTTTTGTCGGAGGACGACGCTGAGATCCGTAGACATATTGGGATCGCCAAGGATGTATTCCAAAAGTTGGGCAGAGTATTGCGAGACAGGTGGATTTCTTTGGTAACAAAGAAAAGAATACTGAGCTGTTACGTGACATCTGTCCTATACGACAGCGAATGTTGGACAATTTCCTCAAAGATGAAGAAGAGGCTCGAGGTAGAGATGTGGTTCTACAGAAGGATGCTAAGGATATCTTGTAGCGAGGTCTTGGAAAGGATGCAAATAAGGAAGAAGCTTATATTTAACATAAGTAAGAGGCAGATGAAATTTCTGTGACACGTAATGAGAAAGGAGGGTATGAGGAACCTGATACTCACAGGTTGAATAGAGGAAAAGTGAGACAGCGGAAAGCAACGCATGACAAGTGGATGGCAGAACGCGTTCTGGTGGAGTTGGCAGAGGGATAGGAGCAAGTGGAGGGCCATGGTCACCTTTATTCCTGAAAGGACACGGCACATAAAAAGATTTTTATTGTTGGTAATATTTTTTTTCTTCAAAAATGTATTACTGGTAATATTTTTTCCAAAACTCTATTGCTGGTATTTTTTTTCCAAAAATCTATTGCTGGTAATAATTCTCTCTTCAAAATTGATTGCTGGTAATATTTTTTTTTACAAAAACGTATTGCTGGTATTAAGACCTATTTTTATACTTCCATAGTGTTTTGGCTCCAACTTGGGGTTAACTATTTGCCCATAGCTACCACCCTGGGTCAGGGTGGACCTGGGAACACAAGCAATTAAGAGGTGGTTCTACGCTCTTCAAAACTTCCTGATCAGAGGCCTTGTTGTCGGGTGGAGTTTATCGTCTACCCAGGACCCAGATGTAGTTTATCGTTATACCCACGACAGGAGACAAGAGATAGTAACTTTATAAATTTAAACAGTGCAGCAAAAGTAACGCTTGTTTTATTTATTAACTTTTATTGAACAAAATAAATTACAGTCATTTAAAAAGCGTTTGGTCACGTCAAAACAACATAATTTGTTATGGTTAACAAACTATTTAACCTGTTCGAAATGCTCCTTTTCATGTTCAACAGAACGCTGAACGCTATCAGCAACACTTCTACAAGCCATTTTGATACATTTCTACATAAATTTCGGAAAATATATAAGAAATTTCTTGTTTTAATTCAGACATTCATCTTGAGTTGAGTTTGTAAATATGATCTTTCAGTGTACCCTAAAAGAAAATGTCTGGTGGTATTAGGTTTGGTGATCGTCATGGCTACTCGTTTGTTCCATGACGTCTAAGCCACCTCAGCTCGACATTAAGTCTTAACCATTCCATAATGCGTAAGCTAATCTTACGCCATCTTAAACTAGTGTATTTTATTTTTGTTCAATAAAAGTTAATAAATAAAAAAAAAGACGTTACTTTTGCCGCACCCTGTAGATGACTTGGCTACCTTAAAAATCAGCATTCGGAATACTGGATTTTATCTGGGATCGAACACCGGCTAATGGTGGTAATAAATAAAATAAAAATTCCGAAACATGGCCTTATTTATAACTTCCAATCAAATAAGATTTGGGCTTTTTTTTTTTTTTTTTTTTTTTCATATTCCAGGATTAATTCCTCTTACAAATGTCGTCTTTTTTGCTTTAAATCCCTTCAATTTTCTTTTTTCGTTTTTGTTCTCAGCCTCTGTATTTGGTCCCCTCCCACGCTTTTACTTCTCTTCCAGCCTCTTCCTCACTTACCTTTCCGTCCACTCTCTTTTTCGATTTTCCTCCCCACCCCGCAGTCTTTCTCTTTACTTTCTTCCTACTCATTTCCTTCTCTGTCTTTTTCTCTTTCCTCTTTTTTTTCTTTTTATATGCTTTTCTTTATTCTGCTTTTTTTCAGCTTCCATTGCATTTTTATTCATTCAAGCTTGTATCCATCTCTTTCTCTCCTTTCCTCAATCTATCTCCCTCATTAACTTACACTCTCTCTCTCTCTCTCTCTATCTATCTATCTCTCTCCCTCTCCTTTTCTCTCTCTTCTTCATTCTGTTGATGTGCCTATTGCTTTAAATCTGGCTTTTGTCTTAGTATTTACATTGTTTCTCATATTTTCTTTCTTTCTCTTTTTCCTTCTTTTCTTTCTTTCTTTTTTTCATTCTTTCTTTCACTACATGTCTTTCCTTCATATTCTATTTCTTTTTTCTTTCACTCAATCTTTCTTTATTCTTTCTTTCTTTCTTTCTTTTCCACATGACGTTCCCTTATGCCCTTACTTTCTTTATTCTTTCCTTTTTTCATTCTTTCTTTCTTACTTTCTTTCTTTATCTCTCACTTTCTCTTTCATTCCCCCTTCCCGCTTTCTTTCTGTCTCTCTCTCTCTTTTTCTTTCACTCCCTACCTCTCTGTTTTTCTTTCATTTTTTTCTTCCACTTTTTTCTTCCACTATATGTCTTTCTTTCATACCCTTTCTTCTTCTTTCACCCCATCTTTATTTTTCCTTTCTCTTTCTCTCTTTTTTCTTTCTTTCTTTTTTCTTTCTTTCTTTCTTTCTTTATTTATTCCTTTTTCACGTGACTTTCCTTCATGGCCTGCCTTTCTTTCTTTCTTTCTTTTTTTCTATTTTTCTTTCTTTCTTTCTTTTTTCTTTTTGCTTTCTTCTTTTCTTTCTACCACTCTCTTTCTCGCACTCTCTCTCTCTCCTTATACTTTCTTTCTCTTCCTCGCTTTCTCTCATTCTTTCGTCCTTTCTTTCTTTGTCTTTTCTTCTCGCATTTATTTTTCCGGATTGATTATTTCTTCTTATTTCCCGTTACCAAATACAAATGTTCTTTTTTTTTGTTGTTAAAAGTAGATTTTCGTGTTTAAAAGAATTAACTAAATCTTTTCAGTGTGGCTTCAGATTTCTTGCATTCTCCCGTTATTGACCAACGCATGCTTTGATGTTTATTTACTAAACTCGCTTTGCCCGACACATTTCCAGCCCGTACTGGATACATAGTGAGCATCAAACACTATACGAAGTTGTGTACTAATCAACCAGACAATTTCACTAAACATCAAACCTACGCCGGGACGCCGAACAGAGAAAAATCCCCTTTACAAAAAGAGATAGATAGATAGATAGATAGATAGATAGATAGATAGATAGATAGATAGATAGATAGATAGATCGATAGATAGATAGATAGATAAAAAATATATGAAATAGAACAAAACTAAATTTTATTTTACGTTAGTTTTTGCATTTATATTAAATATTAATTTTATTTTTTGCATTTATATTAAATAATAATTTTTTTTTTTGCATTTTTACCTAATATTAATTTATAATTATAATTATTCTAAATGTCGAATCAATATACAATATAACGTTGCTTCCATGAGATCCAGAATTCTTGTTTAAAACAACCGTATTGACAAGTTCCTATTTATTAATATCTGACGATTGTACACACATGAAACTCTGAGTCATACAACTGACGTAAGCAATATGTGTATTTATTTACACACACACACATACATATATATATATATATATATATATATATATATATATATATATATATATATATATATATATATATATATATATATATATATATATATATATATATTCCATTCCCATTCGTTAATTTAATTTACACGCTTTTATATGGTTTATTCCCAGAAAAATAAACTTGATAAGTATATATATATATATATATATATATATATATATATATATATATATATATATATATATATATATATATAAACGTGTCGTGTGGGGGTATTTTAGCATCACTTTAAGGTGAAATGATCAAGAAAGAATACTATTATCCTATTATAGTTGCATCTTTTTCCATCCAGTAGAATTCGAGCTTTCCTCTTTGGTATTATGGCTTTATGAATTTAAGCGCAGTAATAGATTGGCAACAATGTACCCTCAATTTACAGTTGAGTAGGCTAGATGTAACTGTAAGTTCTTTGCTAACAATTTCTCCTCTGATAACTTTCGCTTGTGGAACATTATTCGGGCTTCTTGTTTTCAAGTCAACTTTGATCTTCAGAAATTTGAAATGCAATTTCATTTGCTATTTACTGCATTACTTGATTCCTTTTCTTTGATTGTTCCCGCTCCATAATAATGTTTTTTTTTTTATTTTACATTCAATAATCACTTGTATCTTACTGGCTATATTGCTATGATTTTGTTCTTATATGCCAGGGGTGGTTAAATATGCTTAATGTCGGATCCATCTGTGATAAAGTTCAGATATTTGAGAGTCGCAAGACATTATCAAAATTTACGCATACGTTTTCGTTACATACACATTTTGTTACAAAATAATATTTATTCATGTATGCAATGTTTTTAAGCTGTTCATTTGTATTGGTCTCAGTAATCAAAAATCACACACACACACACATATCTATCTATCAATCTATCTATGGGTTGTTGGTAAAAAATAATGACGTAATAATGTCGTTTTTGACGTTAAAAATACGTCAAAGAACGACATTATTACGTCATTATTTTTGCACCAACCTAATATCTATCTATCTATCTATCTATATATATATATATATATATATATATATATATATATATATATATATATATAAATTGATGTTACGCAAATGTAATTTCGCTCATTTTTCTCATAAGTTCCGTAGTTCATCACCATATTAAATACGCTCAATATAGTTAAAACAATGGTCAGTCAAGATTTTGAAAATATTTGGTATATATATATATATATATATAACAAATACCTTCAAAATGAACTACGGGAACTTCTAAGAAAAATGTGCGAATTTGCATTTCAGTAACATCAAATTATATATGTACATGACAAGAGTGCGGTCCCCGTAATCCCCTTACCCCTGTCCTTGGTCTTCTAAAATTTCTCTGTGCCCCTAGCTGATCGGGAATTTCTTTAATCCCTCTGCTTCTTATCATTCCATCCCCCAGCACTAACGAACAATGCCTCACACAGATCTAGCATTAATATTAGGATTAAAATTCTTAATCTTTTTCACTAACCATGAACATTAAACTTACATTTTAATCCAATGTTGTCTCAGTTCAGACCCAGAAAATGTCCTTATTTACCTTTTATATTAACTTTGAGGAAAAAAGGGATCTTAGCCAATATATTTCCACGAGCCACATGTGGCTCACGAACCGCGGTTTGAGCAATCCTATTATATACTTTTGTGTATACTATATAGCATTTGGATAAATATGCACTTGCGTTTTCAAAGTCCTGAATCAATAATTCATTTAAAGTTACCTGAAGAGGAACCTGATTTGCAACATCTTAGTTGTTTCTTCACACTTAAGAATGAATTTGAGAAATTAAATTTGTGTTCATTTTGGGTTAAGAACAAAAGGGAATTTCCACTACTGAATAAAACAGCTATTTTATTACTATTGGCTTTTACAACTACTCATTTGTGTGAATTGGAATTTTCCACATTAACTTAATTTAAGATGAAGGACAGAAACAGGCTCAATACTGCATCTATCTTCCTGTGGTCACAATTGGAATCCGCTTCTTATGAACAATCAAGCACATCCATTTGATTAAATGATTATTTTTTTCGAATATTGTTTACTTTACGTTTGTGTAGAAATTTCTTTTTTTCTAAAACTAATTTTATATTCATACAAATAGATAATACGAACAAATACATGCAATTCCAATATGTGAGGATCATAAGAAATATACATATAAATTATCAAGGTAAATAAATGAATCTAGTGAACAGAGATTTCTTTAATTTATTACACGTAGGTATAATGAGTTGGAATGTAAAATGTTGTTATTGTTGTGAGTGACAATAAAAAACAGTTTGAAAAATGCTGGTCTAAATGATAGCTGATCTCTTCTCAACTCTACTTTTAACACCTCAGTATGTTAAAACTGGCTTGTAACATTCAGCACTTCCAAAACCAAACTAGTAACGTTTCATCACCAAGAGGGCACTGAAGCTAAATAAAGGGTTGAGTTTTTTCTCTCATTGCTAAGATCCTCCTCCGTTCCGCCATTTTTCCAGACCAGCTCATAGGACAAGTCGCTCGCTGCCTTTCCCTGTCTCTTTCAAGAGAAATAAAGGGTTCAGTTCGACATTCCAACCACCTGAAGAGTGCAACGACCGAAATGTTGTAATAAATATGGCGGCAAAGATGAGGACAATAGTCCGAATAATTTAAATAATAATACAAATAGATATTTGCAATTCCTTTACTATAATGGGTCGCAACACAAAATATGGTACTTGCTGTGGATAGCAGTAAAATAGTTTGAAAAACGTTAGCGTATAGAACACTACATTATACCCGAATTCAGTTGTTGACCTCATACTACTTTTATTAATCTCTTGATGTTGGCCTTGTGCCAGATTATGCAAAGTTTACTGGGTTTGCTCTTATGTGAAAATAATAGTGAATGCGTCTAAATATATCTCTCAGTGAATCTGAACATGCATGGGGTTGGATTAGCGTTCGTTTTTCTCATGCAAAATATGGCATTGCGTTGAGTGGCGTTCTTCCTACTCTGTTCTGATGAAAAAAAAAATAGTGCAGACATTTAACGCCAGAAGGGGATTTGAAATGTTTCTATTTGTTTTGCGCCAAATATAGAACTGGCAATTTTAACGATGACCAACGATTGGGCCAAAATTCCTAATTCCAACATTTGGGATATTTTTATCTCATCTATACAAGTGAGGACGTACCAAACGAAAGAAAGAAATTTTTTACATTTCAGAATGCCTAAATCTATATTGTACCTGTTTTCTTCTTCTGTGTGCCGCGTCCATTCAGTATATAGACATTCATGGCTCTCCACAACTTCTATCATTGCTAAGATCCTCTCCCGTTCCGCCATTTTTTCAGACCAGCTCGTAGGACAAATAGCTCGTTGCATTTCCGTGTCTCTTCTGCCCTCAGTATGCCTTGTGAAGGTTAAGTTTTCCAAACCATCCTTTCTCATTATGTGTACAAGGGATTTCAGCTGTCTTTTGCTGCTTCTGAGTAGAAGTATTCTTTCAATTGCTATTTTATTTAAGACTTCCTTGTTGCTTACTCGATCCCTACATTGAATTCTCAGTATCCTTCTGTAGGACCACATTTCTTAATTGGTATGTCCCTTCAGAAAGTAGACGATCATGGATCTCCACGGTTTCCGTTTTATTCATTATCTGTGAATTGCCCTCACTTCTTGGGAAAGACAGAGGAAATGTTTCTCGTTGACTTCACGGTTTTGACTTCAAAGTTATCATTAGTCTAAAAGATGTTACCCAAGGCTATAGATTTCAGTGTATTTAACCCATAGCTAGGGAGAGAAGACTGACTCCAGCAGAGAGAGAGAGAGAGAGAGAGAAAGAAAGACAGAGATAGTGTGGACATGATAATCAGTACTCTATGGTGACTATCAGTTTCACGGCCCAAGTGATTTTCAGTAAAGAATATTGCTTGAGGTGTGAAACTGATTGTCCACACTGTCTACATTTAAAAACTCCGATATTCAGTACACATCAAATGTTAAACTATCAAACTATATAATAATTATGTAGTGGAAAGAGAGGTAAGCCAAGTTAGTATATTCATCAGTGATTATTTCCCTTAGTCTTTTTAATAATTTACAAAAATAAAATATTTATCTGCATTTGGACAAAATTAGGTCCCGAGTAGAATTTATTGTTTAATTAATCAGTTTCTTTATTCCAATGCCTCATAGATTGCAGCTTGATTTGTTCAAGCCTTTCATGGGAGGCAGCCAGATACCATTGTCTAATAAGT